ATCTGTCCATCAGATGCGTGTCAAAGTTGAGTTTGTTACTATAATAACAGTAGATCAAACAATCATTGTAAAAAATAAAAAAAAAAACATTGTCGAGATCACGAGAAAATTAAGTCGTTATAACGAGAAAACAACTCTCGTTATGTCGATATAACGAGAAAATAAGTCGTTATAACGAGAAAACAAGAAGGAAAAAAAATAATGCATGGCCGCTTAGAACTTCCATAATTAACTAGTTTGTTACTATAATAACAGTAGATCAAACAATCATTGTAAAAAATAAAAAAAAAAACATTGTCGAGATCACGAGAAAATTAAGTCGTTATAACGAGAAAACAACTCTCGTTATGTCGATATAACGAGAAAATAAGTCGTTATAACGAGAAAACAAGAAGGAAAAAAAATAATGCATGGCCGCTTAGAACTTCCATAATTAACTGAAAAATGACAACAGAAATTTTGGTGAACTATCCATTTAGCGTGTTTTAAATCACACATCACACATCATATTATATTACAAAAGTTCAAATGGATCATATTACTCAAATTTCACTTTCTTTTGTGTTTTCAGTCAACAGCTTAGCCTTTTAGCCTAACTGATTATGAAGCTCTATTACAAGATATTTTTGGCATTGAGGAAGGGGAATATGATTCTGTGGTGGGATCTGATTTGTGTCAAAATATCAGCTCTCAAGAATCATAAAATGTCTAAACTGGTCATGCCTGAATCACTGGTGTGTGCTGCTTTGTAAACACAGAACATTTTCAAATGGTGCTGACAATCACTGCTGCACCCTCGATCAATATAGCGGGACCACATTACTCTCAATAAATAATGACTACATAAAATTACCTTTTCATATGCTTGCCTTTCTTACCTTCGAACTAAGCTATTGAGTCAAAAGTAGAGTGTGGTACATTAAAATCACATGGACTGACTTTTAAGGCAAATCACTATTATATATGACATATGAATATGATGTAAAATTGTATATGAATGACAACTGAATGTCTTTGCAACTATTGTATGTAATTAGTCATTAAATAGCACCAGAAGGCCTCTGACGTTTTGAAATGTTGATAACTCAGCGTAAACCTACATTACCGCTCCAGATAATTCTGAGAATTCAGACTGCCTTTGTGCTTTGAGCTGATGAAATGCCTCGACTGAAATATGGAAGCGAATACATAACACGGGGAATGTGAGCCCTTATCCTGGTGCATTACCTTAGAGCAGAGAGCACTTCAAACACACCAGGAGAGCCGTGATGCAGAGGTGCTCGTTATGGGACGAAACATTAGAGATGTCAATCACTGTTAGGGCAACATAAACTTTGCCCTTAAAGCATAACTTGGCGTTTCTCGGCTCAATTAGATAGGATCTAGTCCTAATCCAGTTGTTGGCTTTGATGATTCAGGTTCAGTTGAGTATTCCTCAATATTTATCAGAGATTGACGGAAAGAAGCGGTTCAAATGGTGTGTAGAATACCAAGCAATTCCGTATATGAGTTAGGCAAATGTAGATGAATGAGGCATGTTCACTGGATCACAAGATGGAGATCAAGAGCGCCTGTTTCTTTTAGATGGAGAGCTTCTTGGAATAGAACATAAGTGTGTCACTGAGCAGTAAAACACAGAAATGAATTACTGTATGAATGCTGGATTAGCATTTTAGTTTTTACTTGCCATTTAGAAAACTATTTTTTATCCAATGCGACTTGTAGTGCACTCTTGAGGGGGGCAGCCGCCCTGAAGTAACCTGGCTTTTATATTTTGCCTTTTCCAGTGTTTGAACCTGGGACCTCAGGGTTACAATATGAGATCTATACTATATGTGTAGGTTGTGAACCAGAACTGACCTGGTTTCTGTTTCTAACTCAGACTAGATTTACAGAATGTCCCATGAATTGGAAAATTCAGCGATTTTTAGTAAAATGTGCTCATAGAGTGATAAACATTTACTGAATATTATTTTTAGGGAGGCTGGTCATTGCATCTGTTGTCTTTCTTCAATAAAAACTGTGGAGACTGCAAATCAGATACAAAGGAAATGCTTCTCAAAAGATAGAAGCCTAATTTTAAAGTGATTATGAGTGATACAATTAGTATATTATAGAATATTATCATCTTGCATAATCTAATAACCATAAAATAAACAACTGCTGAAATTAACACTAACTAAACTAAAATGTGAAATGAAATCTGAAAAACAGTATTAAAAATGGAAAAAAATTGCAGAACACTACTTACTGAACCACCACTTAAAAATATCTTATTTAAGTCAAATGAAAAGAGGTCTAATTTGATTATGAGTGATAAAATTAGTATACAGCTATTATCATTTTTTAATTGCATCTGTTGTCTTTCTTCAATAAAAACTGTGGAGACTGCAAATCAGATACAAAGGAAATGCTTCTCAAAAGATAGAAGCCTAATTTTAAAGTGATTATGAGTGATACAATTAGTATATTATAGAATATTATCATCTTGCATAATCTAATAACCATAAAATAAACAACTGCTGAAATTAACACTAACTAAACTAAAATGTGAAATGAAATCTGAAAAACAGTATTAAAAATGGAAAAAAATTGCAGAACACTACTTACTGAACCACCACTTAAAAATATCTTAAGTCAAATGAAAAGAGGTCTAATTTGATTATGAGTGATAAAATTAGTATACAGCTATTATCATTTTTTTAAAATTATAAAGTCATATTATAAACATAAAATTATAAAAACATAAAATGAAAATAAGATTGCTAAAAA